GGGAATTTACATCAGCCAAATACTTTTCAATGTGGGATGTCGATTCTAAATGTGGAGGGAAACACTGGAAAAAAATCCACGCGTCCACGGGGAGAGCGACACGCAAATTACAAATATACAGCAGCAGCTGGCGTCAGGGGTCGGGAGAACCCACGGCCTCCTGTAGACCAGGCGAGGTAGTTAACATCTCCTCGTCACCACGGCGCCCAGGCAAGGCTGAGAGGCAGTGCACACCCTGCAGTTTGGCGGTCACGGAACCCTGTCTGTTCCCAACAACAGCGCACAGACACACACACGCACACACACAGACACACACACGCACGCACACACACACGCACACACACAGACACACACACGCACACACACAGACACACACACGCACACACACAGACACACACACGCACACACACAGACACACACACGAACACACACAGACACACACACGCACGCGCACGCACGCACACACACGCGCACGCACAGACACACACACGCGCACACACACACGCACACGCACGCCGCTTGCGCGCCGTCCAGCCTGTGGAGGCTCTGTCCCAGGCACTGTGTTGTTGTAATTGACTTAGTAAACACGAGGCTGTCACAACGAGAAACGTAAAAACAAACTAAAAACTAAGTTTCACTACAAACATTAATCTGCTACTTGCAAATAAAAACAACTGCGGTTGTCGTCTGATGAGGCTGGTGCTGGTGGTGGTTGTCGTGATTACCGGTGGAATGTCACGGCTATATTTACGCGATCTAACCAAAATAAAAAAAAACTTCTAGTACGGAACAAAACAACAACAACCCCGACAACAAACATCGTTGTCAACTGAAACGCCGTCCCTTTGAAGAATGAAGAAGCGTCCCTTTGAAGAGTGAAGTCCATCGCGAACGCGACCCACTGGACACGGCGTCGTGTTCGCGTCTTCCCCGAGTGTGGCCTGACCCCCAGCGGCACCGTTTGTCGCTGTCGCGAGGGGGGGACGCCTCCCCCCCTCCTCCCTCGCTGCTCGGAGGCAGCTCTGTGAGATCTACTTAAGCGGGATCTCCCGTCTGTGTGTGGCCATCGTGTCACCCGGTCTCTGTGTGAGTCTATGGGTCTCTGTGTGAGTCTATGGGTCTCTGTGTGAGTCTATGGGTCTCTGTGTGAGGCTATGGGTCTCTGTGTGAGGCTATGGGTCTCTGTGTGAGTCTATGGGTCTCTGTGTGAGGCTATGGGTCTCTGTGTGATGAGTCTATGGGTTTCTGTGTGAGGCTATGGGTCTCTGTGTGAGTCTATGGGTCTCTGTGTGAGTCTGTGGGTCTCTGTGTGAGTCTATGGGTCTCTGTGTGAGTCTATGGGTCTCTGTGTGAGTCTATGGGCCTCTGTGTGAGGCTATGGGTCTCTGTGTGTGAGGCTATGGGTCTATGTGTGAGTCTATGGGTCTCTGTGTGAGTCTATGGGTCTCTGTGTGAGTCTATGGGTCTCTGTGTGAGTCTATGGGTCTCTGTGTGAGTCTATGGGTCTCTGTGTAAGTCTATGGGTCTCTGTGTGAGTCTATGGGTCTCTGTGTGAGTCTATGGGTCTCTGTGTGAGTCTATGGGCCTCTGTGTGAGGCTATGGGTCTCTGTGTGTGAGTCTATGGGTCTCTGTGTGAGTCTATGGGTCTCTGTGTGAGTCTATGGGTCTCTGTGTGAGTCTATGGGTCTCTGTGTGAGTCATATGGGTCTCTGTGTGAGTCTATGGGTCTCTGTGTGAGTCTATGGGTCTCTGTGTGAGTCTATGGGTCTCTGTGTGAGTCTATGGGTCTCTGTGTGAGTCTATGGGTCTCTGTGTGAGGCTAGGGGTCTCTGTGTGAGTCTATGGGTCTCTGTGTGAGGCTAGGGGTCTCTGTGTGAGTCTATGGGTTCTCTGTGTGAGGCTGATGGGTCTCTGTGTGATGAGTCTATGGGTCTCTGTGTGAGTCTAGGGTCTCTGTGTTGAGTCTATGGTCTCTGTGTGAGTCTATGGGTCTCTGTGTGAGTCTATGGTCTCTGTGTGAGTCTATGGGTCTCTGTGTGAGTCTATGGGTCTCTGTGTGAGTCTATGGGTTCTCTGTGTGAGTCTATGGGTCTCTGTGTGAGTCTATGGGTCTCTGTGTAGTCTATGGGTCTCTGTGTGAGTCTATGGGTCTCTGTGTGAGTCTATGGGTCTGTGTGAGTCTATGGGTCTCTGTGTGAGTCTATGGGTCTCTGTGGTGAGTCTATGGGTCTCTGTGTGAGTCTATGGGTCTCTGGTGAGTCTATGGGTCTCTGTGTGAGGCTATGGGTCTCTGTGTGAGTCTATGGGTCTCTGTGTGAGTCTATGGGTCTCTGTGTGAGTCTATGGGCTCTGTGTGAGTCTATGGGTCTCTGTGTGAGTCTATGGGTCTCTGTGTGAGTCTATGGGTCTCTGTGTGAGTCTATGGGTCTCTGTGTGAGTCTATGGGTCTCTGTGTGAGTCTATGGGTCTCTGTGTGAGTCTATGGGTCTCTGTGTGAGTCTATGGGTCTCTGTGTGAGTCTATGGGTCTCTGTGTGAGTCTATGGTCTCTGTGTGAGTCTATGGGTCTCTGTGTGAGTCTATGGGTCTCTGTGTGAGTCTATGGGTCTCTGTGTGAGTCTATGGGTCTCTGTGTGAGTCTATGGGTCTCTGTGTGAGTCTATGGGTCTCTGTGTGAGTCTATGGGTCTCTGTGTGAGTCTATGGGTCTCTGTGTGAGTCTATGGGTCTCTGTGTGAGTCTATGGGTCTCTGTGTGAGTCTATGGGTCTCTGTGTGAGTCTATGGGTCTCTGTGTGAGTCTATGGGTCTCTGTGTGAGTCTATGGGTCTCTGTGTGATGAGTCTATGGGTCTCTGTGTGAGTCTATGCGGTCTCTGTGTGAGTCTATGGGTCTCTGTGTGAGTCTATGGATCTCTGTGTGAAGTCTATGGGTCTCGTGTTGAGTCTATGGGTCTCTGTGTTGAGTCTATTGGTTCTCTGTGTGAGTCTATGGGTCTCTGTGTGAGTCTTATGGGTCTCTTTGTGCTTCTTTGGGTCTCTTTTTTTTATTCTATGGGTCTCTGTGTGAGTCATATGGGTCTCTGTGTGATGATCTATGTGTCTCTGTGTGAGTCTATGGGTCTCTGTCTCTGTGTGAGTCTATGGGTATCTAGTGTGAGTCATGGCCTCTGTGTGGAGATGGGTCTCTGTGTGAGGCTTATGGGTCTCTGTGTGTCGTTTTCCTTTTTCTATGGGTCTCTGTGTGAGTCTATGGGCTTCTGTGTGAGTCTATGGGTCTCTGTGTGAGTACTATGGGTTCTCTGTGTGAGTCTATGGGTCTTCGTGTAAGTCTATGGGTCTCTGTGTGAGTCTATGGGTCTCTGTGTGAGTCTATGGGTCTCTGTTGTGAGTCTATGGTACTCTGGTGAAGTCTATGGGGTCTCTGTGTGAGTCTATGGGTTCTGTTGTGTAGTCTATGGGTCTCTGTGTGAGTCTATGGGTCTCTGTTGAGTCTATGGGTCTCTGTGTGAAGTCTATGGGTCTCTGGTGCCAGTCCTATGGGGTCCTCATGCTGTGAGTCTATGGGTCTCTGTGTGAGTCTATGGGTCTCTGTGTGAGTCTATGGGTCTCTGTGTGAGTCTATGGGTCTCTGTGTGAGTCTATGGGTCTGTGTGAGTCTATGGGTCTCTGTGTGAGTCTATGGGTCTCTGTGTGAGTCTATGGGTCTCTGTGTGAGTCTATGGGTCTCTGTGTGAGTCTATGGGTCTCTGTGTGAGTCTATGGGTCTCTGTGAGTCTATGGGTCTGTGTGAGTCTATGGGTCTCTGTGTGAGTCTATGGGTCTCTGTGTGAGTCTATGGGTCTCTGTGTGAGTCTATGGGTCTCTGTGTGAGTCTATGGGTCTCTGTGTGAGTCTATGGGTCTCTGTGTGAGTCTATGGGTCTCTGTGTGAGTCTATGGGTCTCTGTGTGAGTCTATGGGTCTCTGTGTGAGTCTATGGGTCTCTGTGTGAGTCTATGGGTCTCTGTGTGAGTCTATGGGTCTCTGTGTGAGTCTATGGGTCTCTGTGTGAGTCTATGGGTCTCTGTGTGAGTCTATGGGTCTCCGTGTGAGTCTATGGGTCTCTGTGTGAGTCTATGGGCTCTGTGTGGAGTCTATGGGTCTCTGTGTGAGTCTATGGGTCTCGGTGTAAGTCTATGGGTCTATGTGTGAGTCTATGGGTTTCTCTGTGTGAGTCTATGGGTCTCTGTGTGAGTCTATGGTCTCTGTGTGAGTCTATGGGTCTCTTGTGTGAGTCTATGGGTCTCTTGTGTGAGTCTATGGGTCTCTGTGTGGAGTCTATGGGTCTCTGTGTGTGAGTCTATGGGTCTCTGTGTGAGTCTATGGGTCTCTGTGTGTGAGTCTATGGGTCTCTGTGTGAGTCTATGAATCTCCATGCAAGTCCATCAATCTCCATGCGAAGCTACGGGTCTCTGTGATCAAATGGGTCTCTATGCGGGTCTACTGGTCTCTGTGCGAATCCCAGCGGGTCGCGGTACCATGAGCGAGTTACGTATAAAATATATAAATTTACATTTGATTCTTAACGCGTTGCATTTTAAACAACCGACACCCACAACCCCCCCCCCCCCCCGTCACACTCGCGTGACCTCCTGCACCTAGCCTGGCACATGAGTCAAGGCGTGGCACCTGCTGGGTCTGTCAGGTGACCTCCTGCACCTAGCCTGGCACGTGACTGCCACTGGGCTGGAGCTGGGAGCCTCTGCCAAACCGAAAGCTCCCGCTGAGCCACCGGTGAGAGGGGAGGGGCCGGGGGGAGAGTGGGGGGGTGAGAGTGGGGGGGGAGTGAGAGTGGGGGGGTGAGAGTGGGGGGGGGTTGAGAGTGGGGGGGGGGTGAGAGTGGGGGGGGGGTGAGAGTGGGGCCGGGGGGAGAGGGGGGGCCGGGGTGAGATTGGGGGGGGGGGCGGGGGTGAGAGTGGGGGGGGGGGTGATAGTGGGGGGGGGTGAGAGTGGGGGGGAGTGAGAGTAGGGGGGTGAGAGTGGGGGGGGTGGCTTATGGTGCCAGCGGTGTGAACATCTCCGACGTGAGGTCACGTCACGTAACGTGACGCAGCGTCACGTTACGTGACGTGACGTGACATGATGCCACGTGACGCTACGTGACGTGACGCCGTCTTCATATGTAGAGGACTGCAGAGCTCGGCTTGGGGGGGGGGCTATGGTTAGCGGTGGCTGCTGCTGCTGTTACTGCTGCTGCTGCTGTTACTGTTACTGCTCCTGCTGTTACTGCTGCTGCTGTTACTGCTGCTGCTGTTACTGCTGCTGTTACTGCTGCTGCTGTTACTGCTGCTGCTGCTGTTACTGCTGCTGCTGGTGTTGCTGGTGCTGGTGTTGTTGCTGCTGCTGGTGTTGCTGGTGCTGTTGTTGCTGCTGTTGGTGCTCCCGGCTCCTCTACCGAGACCCCCCCCCCCCCACCCTCTCCACCTCTTCGCGAGCGATGAAGAGGGGAACCGTGCGGCCGTGGTGCAGCGTTGCGAGTCTCACACTCGGACTGACCCCCGGCTGACTGACCCCCGGCTGACTGACCCCCGGCTGACTGACCCCCGGCTGACTGACCCCCGGCTGACTGACCCCCGGGTGACTGAGACCTGGGTGACTGAGTCTGACCCCCGGCTGACTGACCCCCGGGTGACTGAGACCCGGGTGACTGAGTCTGACCCCCGGGTGACTGAGACCCGGGTGACTGAGTCTGACCTCCGGCTGACTGACCCCCGGGTGACTGAGACCCGGGTGACTGAGTCTGACCCCCGGGTGACTGAGACCCGGGTGACTGAGTCTGACCTCCGGCTGACTGACCCCCGGGTGACTGAGACCCGGGTGACTGAGTCTGACCCCCGGGTGACTGACCCCCGGGTGACGAGCTCTGGCTACGAGCCGCTGTCACGTGGCGGGCGGGTGGGCTGGGGGTGTGTTTATGTGCTGTAGAAAATCTGATGGCAGCAATACTTTTACATTTCATAGCGTGCATAGGTAACATTTGGCATCTCCCTCCGCCTCTGCGGTGGTGTCGTGTCTGTCTCTCTCTCTCGCTGCGTCTCTCACTCGTCTTGCGCTGCAGGGCAGAGGGGGGGGAGACGATGCCAGTCGTGAGCTCGTGGTCACTGTGTGTGTGTGTCAGTGTGAGTGTACACGTGTGTGTCTGTGTGAGTGTACGTGTGTGTGTGTCTGTGTGAGTGTCTGTGTGAGTGTCAGTGTGAGTGTCTGTGTGTGTGCCTGTGTGTGTGTGTCTGTGTGTGTGTCTGTGTGAGTGTACACGTGTGTGTCTGTGTGAGTGTACGTGTGTGTGTGTGTACGTGTGTGTGTGTGTACGTGTGTGCGTCTGTGTGTGTGTGTCTGTGTGAGTATCTGTGTGAGTGTCTGTGTGTGTCTGTGTGTGTGTCTGTGTGAGTGTACGTGTGTGTCTGTGTGTGTGTGTCTGTGTGAGTGTCTGTGTGTCTGTGTGAGTGTACGTGTATGTGTCTGTGTGAGTGTCTGTGTGTGTGTGTGTCTGTGTGTGTGTCTGTATGAGTGTGTGTCTACGTGTGTGTCAGTGTGTGTGTGTCTGTGTGAGTGTACGTGTCTGTGTGTGTGTGTCTGTGTGAGTGTCTGTGTGTGTGTCTGTATGAGTGTGTGTCTGTGTGTGTGTCTACGTGTGTGTCAGTGTGTGTGTCTGTGTGAGTGTACGTGTCTGTGTGTGTGTGTCTGTGTGAGTGTACGCGTGTGTGTCTGTGTGAGTGTACGTGTCTGTGTGTGTCTGTGTGAGTGTACGTGTGTGTGTGTGTCTGTGTGAGTATCTGTGTGAGTGTCTGTGTGTGTCTGTGTGAGTGTCTGTGTGTCTGTGTGAGTGTACGCGTGTGTGTCTGTGTGAGTGTACGTGTGTGTGTGTCTGTGTGTGTCTGTGTGAGTGTACGCGTGTGTGTGTCTGTGTGTGTGCCTGTGTGTGTGTGTGTCTGTGTGTGTGTCTGTATGAGTGTGTGTCTGTGTGTGTGTCTATGTGTGTGTCAGTGTGTGTGTGTCTGTGTGAGTGTACGTGTCTGTGTGTGTGTGTGAGTGTACGCGTGTGTGTCTGTGTGAGTGTACGTGTGTGTGTGTCTGTGTGTGTCTGTGTGAGTGTACGCGTGTGTGTGTCTGTGTGTGTGCCTGTGTGTGTGTGTGTCTGTGTGTGTGTCTGTATGAGTGTGTCTGTGTGTGTGTCTACGTGTGTGTCTGTGTGTGTGTGTCTGTGTGAGTGTACGTGTCTGTGTGTGTGTGTCTGTGTGAGTGTACGCGTGTGTGTCTGTGTGAGTGTACGTGTGTGTGTGTCTGTGTGTGTCTGTGTGAGTGTACGCGTGTGTGTGTCTGTGTGTGTGCCTGTGTGTGTGTGTGTCTGTGTGTGTGTCTGTATGAGTGTGTGTCTGTGTGTGTGTCTACGTGTGTGTCTGTGTGTGTGTGTCTGTGTGAGTGTACGTGTCTGTGTGTGTGTGTCTGTGTGAGTGTACGCGTGTGTGTCTGTGTGAGTGTACGTGTGTGTGTGTCTGTGTGTGTCTGTGTGAGTGTACGCGTGTGTGTGTCTGTGTGTGTGCCTGTGTGTGTGTGTGTCTGTGTGTGTGTCTGTATGAGTGTGTGTCTGTGTGTGTGTCTACGTGTGTGTCAGTGTGTGTGTGTCTGTGTGAGTGTACGTGTCTGTGTGTGTGTGTCTGTGTGAGTGTACGCGTGTGTGTCTGTGTGAGTGTACGTGTCTGTGTGTGTCTGTGTGAGTGTACGTGTGTGTGTGTGTCTGTGTGAGTATCTGTGTGAGTGTCTGTGTGTCTGTGTGAGTGTCTGTGTGTTTGTGTGAGTGTACCTGTGTGTGTGTCTGTGTGAGTGTCTGTGTGTGTGTGTCTGTGTGAGTGTACGTGTGAGTGTCTGTGTGCGTGTGTCTGTGTGAGTGTACGTGATGTGTGTCACTGTGTGTGTCACTGTGTGTGTCACTGTGTGTGTCACTGTGCGTGTCACTGTGCGTGTCACTGTGCGTGTCACTGTGTGTCACTGTGCGTGTCACTGTGCGTGTCACTGTGCGTGTCACTGTGCGTGTCACTGTGCATGTCACTGTGTGTGTCACTGTGCGCCCCTCACCTGTCTCTGTGTGTGTCAGGAAGCCTTTGGGCGACGCTGACGCTCGACTCTTCAACACCCTGAACTCCGCCTCCAACTTCTACAACAACAACAACAACAGCAGCTTCTACAACAACAACAACAACAGCGTCGAAAACAACAACAACAGCAGCTTCTACAACAACAACAACAGCTTCGAAAACAACAACAACAGCAGCTTCTACAACAACAACAACAGCTTCGAAAACAACAACAGCAGCTTCTACAACAACAACAGCGTCGAAAACAACAACAACAGCAGCTTCTACAACAACAACAACAGCTTCGAAAACAACAACAGCAGCTTCTACAACAACAACAACAGCTTCGAAAACAACAACAACAGCAGCTTCTACAACAACAACAACAGCTTCGACAACAACAACAGCAGCTTCTACAACAACAACAACAGCTTCGAAAACAACAACAACAGCAGCTTCTACAACAACAACAGCGTCGAAAACAACAACAGCAGCTTCTACAACAACAACAGCTTCGAAAACAACAACAGCAGCTTCTACAACAACAACAGCTTCGAAACAACAACAGCAGCTTCTACAACAACAACAGCAGCTTCTACAACAACAACAACATCTTCTACAACAACAACAGCAGCAGCTTCTACAACAACAACAACAGCTTCTACAACAACAACAACATCTTCTACAACAACAACAGCAGCAGCTTCTACAACAACAACAGCAGCAGCTTCTACAACAACAACAACAGCTTCTACAACAACAACAACATCAGCAGCTTCTACAACAACAACAGCTTCTACAACAACAACAGCAGCAGCTTCTACAACAACAACAACAACAGCTTCTACAACAACAACAACAGCAGCAGCTTCTACAACAACAACAGCTTCGAAAACAACAGCAGCTTCTACAACAACAGCAACAGCTTCTACAACAACAACAGCAGCAGCTTCTACAACAACAACAGCAGCAGCTTCTACAACAACAACAACAACAGCTTCTACAACAACAGCAGCAGCTTCTACAACACAGCAGCAGCTTCTACAACAACAGCAGCAGCTTCTACAACAACAGCAGCAGCTTCTACAACAACAGCAGCAGCTTCTACAACAACAACAGCTTCTACAACAACAACAGCTTCTACAACAACAACAACAACAGCTTCTACAACAACAACAACAGCTTCTACAACAACAACAACAGCTTCTACAACAACAACAACAGCTTCTACAACAACACAACAACAGCTTCTACAACAACAACAACAACAGCTTCTACAACAACAACAACAGCTTCTACACAACAACAACAGCTTCTACAACAACAACAACAGCTTCTACAACAACAACAGCAGCTTCTACAACAACAACAACAGCTTCTACAACAACAACAACAGCTTCTACAACAACAACAACAGCTTCTACAACAACAACAACAGCTTCTACAACAACAACAACAGCTTCTACAACAACAACAACAACAGCTTCTACAACAACAACAACAGCTTCTACAACAACAACAACAGCTTCTACAACAACAACAACAGCTTCTACAACAACAACAACAACAGCTTCTACAACAACAACAGCAGCTTCTACAACAACAACAACAGCTTCTACAACAACAACAACAGCAGCTTCTACAACAACAACAACAGCTTCTACAACAACAACAACAGCTTCTACAACAACAACAACAGCTTCTACAACAACAACAGCAGCTTCTACAACAACAACAGCAGCTTCTACAACAACAGCAGCAGCTTCTACAACAACAACAACAGCTTCTACAACAACAACAACAGCGTCGAAAGTGAGAGTGTGAGTGTGTGTAAGTTGAGTGAGTGTGTGTAAGTTGAGGGTCTGAGTGTGAGTGAGTGTGTGTAAGTTGAGTGAGTGTGTAAGTTAAGTGAGTGTGTGTAAGTGAGAATGTGTGTGTGTAAGTGAGGGTCTGAGTGTGAGTGAGTGTGTGTAAGTTGAGTGTGTGTAAGTGAGAGTGTGTGTGTAAGTGAGAGTGTGTGTGTAAGTGAGAGTGTGTGTGTAAGTGAGAGTGTGTGTGTAGGTTGAGAGTGAGTGTGTGTAAGTGAGGGTCTGAGTGTGAGTGAGTGTGTGTAAGTTGAGTGTGTGTAAGTGAGAGTGTGTGTGTAAGTGAGAGTGTGTGTGTAAGTTGAGAGTGAGTGTGTGTAAGTGAGGGTCTGAGTGTGAGTGAGTGTGTGTAAGTTGAGTGTGTGTAAGTGAGAGTGTGTGTGTAAGTGAGAGTGTGTGTGTAAGTGAGAGTGTGTGTGTAAGTGAGAGTGTGTGTGTAAGTGAGAGTGTGTGTGTAAGTTGAGAGTGAGTGTGTGTAAGTGAGGGTCTGAGTGTGAGTGAGTGTGTGTAAGTTGAGTGTGTGTAAGTGAGAGTGTGTGTGTAAGTGAGAGTGTGTGTGTAAGTTGAGAGTGAGTGTGTGTAAGTGAGGGTCTGAGTGTGAGTGAGTGTGTGTAAGTTGAGTGTGTGTAAGTGAGAGTGTGTGTGTAAGTGAGAGTGTGTGTGTAAGTGAGAGTGTGTGTGTAAGTGAGAGTGTGTGTGTAAGTTGAGAGTGAGTGTGTGTAAGTGAGGGTCTGAGTGTGAGTGAGTGTGTGTAAGTTGAGTGTGTGTAAGTGAGAGTGTGTGTGTAAGTGAGAGTGTGTGTGTAAGTGAGAGTGTGTGTGTAAGTGAGAGTGTGTGTGTAAGTTGAGAGTGAGTGTGTGTAAGTTGAGAGTGAGTGTGTGTAAGTTGAGAGTGAGTGTGTGTAAGTTGAGTGTGTGTGTGTAAGTGAGAGTGTGTGTGTGTGTGTGTAAGTTGAGTGTGTGTGTGTAAGTGAGAGTGTGTGTGTGTGTGTGTAAGTTGAGTGAGTGTGTGTAAGTTGAGTGTGTGTGTGTGTAAGTTGAGTGTGTGTAAGTGAGAGTGTGTGTGTGTGTAAGTGAGAGTGTGTGTGTAAGTGAGAGTGTGTGCGTAAGTGAGAGTGTGTGTGTAAGTTGAGAGTGAGTGTGTGTAAGTTGAGAGTGAGTGTGTGTAAGTGAGAGTGTGTGTGTAAGTGAGAGTGTGTGTGTAGGTTGAGAGTGAGTGTGTGTAAGTGAGGGTCTGAGTGTGAGTGAGTGTGTGTAAGTTGAGTGTGTGTAAGTGAGAGTGTGTGTGTAAGTGAGAGTGTGTGTGTAAGTTGAGAGTGAGTGTGTGTAAGTGAGGGTCTGAGTGTGAGTGAGTGTGTGTAAGTTGAGTGTGTGTAAGTGAGAGTGTGTGTGTAAGTGAGAGTGTGTGTGTAAGTGAGAGTGTGTGTGTAAGTGAGAGTGTGTGTGTAAGTTGAGAGTGAGTGTGTGTAAGTGAGGGTCTGAGTGTGAGTGAGTGTGTGTAAGTTGAGTGTGTGTAAGTGAGAGTGTGTGTGTAAGTGAGAGTGTGTGTGTAAGTGAGAGTGTGTGTGTAAGTGAGAGTGTGTGTGTAAGTTGAGAGTGAGTGTGTGTAAGTTGAGAGTGAGTGTGTGTAAGTTGAGAGTGAGTGTGTGTAAGTTGAGTGTGTGTGTGTAAGTGAGAGTGTGTGTGTGTGTGTAAGTTGAGTGTGTGTGTGTAAGTGAGTGTGTGTGTGTGTGTGTAAGTGTGAGTGTGTGTAAGTTGAGTGTGTGTGTGTGTAAGTTGAGTGTGTGTAAGTGAGAGAGTGTGTGTGTGTAAGTGAGAGTGTGTGTGTAAGTGAGAGTGTGTGCGTAAGTGAGAGTGTGTGTGTAAGTTGAGAGTGAGTGTGTGTAAGTTGAGAGTGAGTGTGTGTAAGTGAGAGTGTGTGTGTAAGTTGAGTGTGTGTGTGTAAGTGAGAGTGTGTGTGTGTGTAAGTTGAGTGTGTGTGTGTAAGTGAGTGTGTGTGTGTGTGTAAGTGAGAGTGTGTGTGTGTGTAAGTTGAGTGTGTGTGTGTGTAAGTTGAGTGTGTGTAAGTGAGAGTGTGTGTGTGTGTAAGTTGAGTGAGTGTGTGTAAGTTGAGAGTGAGTGTGTGTAAGTGAGAGTGTGTGTGTGTGTAAGTTGAGTGAGTGTGTGTAAGTTGAGAGTGAGTGTGTGTAAGTGAGAGTGTGTGTGTGTGTGAGGGTCTGACCTGCAGGTGCTCGAGGTTCCTCTGGATGAGTTCCACTTCCCGGAAGACGTCCGACGGCAACGCAGTCGGACGCGGCCGCCCCCCCCCCCCCCCCTCCCCCTCCCCCCCCTCCCCCTCCCTCGCCTCCCCCGCCTCCTCCTCGTCGATGCGCAGCTCCACCGCGTCTCCTCCCTCCGCTGCCGCGGGCGACGGGCCCAGCAGTCGGCCCAGCATCTCCCGCAGCCTCAGCACTGCACACGCAGACACAGCCCCCCCCCCTCGTGGGTGAGCGCTCGCGACAGCACGGTACACGGTACACTATCACGAGCGGTACACTATCACGAGGGCTGGTGACAGCACGGTACACGGTACACTATCACGAGTGCTGGTGACAGCACGGTACACGGTACACGGTACACTATCACGAGGGCTGGCGACAGCACGGTACACGGTACACTATCACGAGGGCTGGTGACAGCACGGTACACGGTACACGATCACGAGCGCTGGTGACAGCACGGTACACTATCACGAGCGCTGGCGACAACACGGTACACGGTACACTATCACGAGGGCTGGTGACAGCACGGTACACTATCACGAGGGCTGGTGACAGCACGGTACACGGTACACGGTACACGATCACGAGCGCTGGTGACAGCGCCGTGAAGAGGCCTCCCTGGGCAGTATGAATCACGGCAGGCGAGCTTCCCCCTGTCTGGCAACGAAACAGCCGTGCCAAGATGTGAGAGCACCAAGCTGCCACCCTGCGCACGGAATCACGTCACTGCATTAGCCACAATGCTGGTGGTCACAATGCTGGTGGCCACAATGCCGGTGGCCACAATGCCCAGTTTGGTGTCTGGACATCAAACTGGGGGGGGGGGGGGTGTAGCGGTGCGTCCTCACCGGCCTGCACGGCGGGGCCGGCCAGGCCCTCGTCTCCCGCTGCCCCGTCGCCGGCGGGCGCCCACGACCGCCACGGCGGCGTTGGCGTCGGGGAGGCCGCCGAGTCCGGGGAGAGCGCCCCTTGGGTGGGCCCCGGGGGGCCCGGCGGGGCGTCGTCGGCGTGGGGGGACAGCCCCCCGCCGGCACGCTCCTCGGCGTGGGGGGGGGCGGCCGCCTCCTCCTCCTCCTGCTGCTCCACGTCGCCCCCCACGGACACCTCCTCCGAGTCGCCCACCCCCCCCACCGCCCCCACCGCCGGCCCCTCCTTGTGGGCGCTGTGGAGACAGCCAGCAGAGAGCACAACACTCGGCAACAACTTTCACAACAACAACAACCGCCGTTCGCCACGTCACCACGACACTTGTGCCAGGCCATGTGTACCTTGAGGCCACGTGAAGGGGGTCACGGGGCAGACCCAGGTGCCACGGGTCGACTGACCGAGATGACCGAGATGACTGGCTGATGCACCACCTGTGCCCCCCACTGTGCCAACTCGCTGTGCTTTAGCCACCCGGCGCTCCGCTCGTTGTTGTGAGCGTCGCTCCTCTGCCCTCCATTGTTGTTGGAGGGCGACTGCCTTCAACTGGCCAGTAGCGTCCTTCACGAGCCTCCTCCACAGAGGCCGATGTTGACACCGCTGGTACCAGTCATCGGCAAGTCCACTTAGCTCCACGTCCTCCTGAACCACGTCACTCCATCTCTTCTTTAGCCCGTGCCGCGTCCGTTTAGCCCCCTCGATCCGGCCGAACAAAAGCTGTTTGGGCATGCGGTGGTGGCTGGGCATGCGGGCTACATGACCCAGCCAACGCAGCCATGTCTGCCGGACGAGCTCACCGATGGAACTTTGTTTAGATCTTCCAAGAATTTGCGAGCTCCTCACACAATCCAGCCTGGTTAAACCCAGGATGGATCGTAGGCAGGCCAGCCTAAATGTTTCTAACCAGCGAAGATGCTCCATTAGGGGAGTCCACATTTCGCAAGCGTAGAGAAGAGAGGGAATGACCGTGGTCGAGAAGACCTGAAGCTTCGTGCGGAGCGACAGACCAGGTAGCTTCCACACAGCGTTACGCAACCGATGAAAAGATATTGCCGCTCGACTGATTCGGAGTGAGACCTCTGCTGTTAAACTGGAGCTGGTCATAAGCACACTGCCCAGGTATGGGAAACTCTCCACTCTCTCCACTACTGCCCCATCACCGATTGGGAGTTGTGGGGGTGGATTGTCTGATGGTACAAAATACCCAGGCAGGTGCTTAGTTTTGGTGGGGCTGATGGTAAGGCCCCACCTCTTAGTGGCACACTCCAGTCTCAGCAGCAGCGTCTCCAACTCCTCCTCTGAATGAACAGCAATTACCAAATCATCGGCATACATAACGTGGTTGACCAATAGGGAGCCATCCCTTGATCGCACCCGGGCGTCGATCAGCCTCCCATTATATCTGTACCAAATGGAAATTCCCCCGGTACAGCTATTGAAGGCTTCATGAACTACGTGGTCAAAATAAATGTAAAATAATGTGGGAGCCAGAGGACATCCCTGTCGCACCCCAAGGTGTACAGGGAAAGGCTCTGACTCCCGGCCACGTAGTTTTACCCGGGCCTGCTCACCATCATGAAGGTCCCTAATGATCGTGAGCAGAGGGTCAGGGACTCCGAAAGCACGAAGAACAACCCAGAGCCCAGGCCTACTGATGGTATCATAGGCCTTGACCAGGTCAATAAAGCAGAGATGTAGGCCTTGTTGGAATTCCCTACACCTCTGCTGTAGCAGACGGACAGAAAATATGGTATCTGTGCAGGACCGCCCATTCCTGAAACCGCATTGGGGCTCCGCAAGCCTCTCATCAGCGTACAAAATACCCACAACAACAACTGCCATTCGCCACTAAGTGGCAGTGACGTCACACACACACACTCACACACTCACTCACACACACTCACACACACTCATATACGGCTGTATCTGCGTGTACGTGTGTGTGTGCGTGAACGTGTGTGTGTGCGTGTATGTGCGTGTACGTGCACGTGTGTGTGTGTGTGAACGTGCGTGTGTGCGTGTGTGTGAACGTGCGTGTGTGCGTGTGTGTGTGTGCGTGTGTGTGTGCGTGAACGTGTGTGTGTTGAGTGTGCATGTACGTGTGTGTACGTGTGTGTACGTGCGTGTGTACGTGCGTGTGTACGTGCGTGTACGTTGCGTGTGTACGTGCGTGTGTACGTGCGTGTGTACGTGCGTGTGTACGTTGCGTGTGTACGTGCGTGTGTCCGTTGCGTGTACGTTGCGTGTGTACGTGCGTGTGCGCGTGTACGTTGCGTGTACGTTGTGTGTGCGCGTGTACGTTGCGTGTGTACGTTGCGTGTGCGTTGCGTGTGCGCGTGTACGTGTACGTGTGCGTGTGTGCGTGTGCGTGTGCGCGTGTACTCGGGGGGTCCGGGCGAGGTGGGCGCGTCGCCCTCCTTGTGAGCGACGCCCAGCAGGGCGGCGGTGTTCTTCCTGCGCGCAGCGGCGACGGCGTCGCTCAGGCGCTGCCACCAGGCGCGGCGCTCCGACACGCTCACGGCCACCAACTCGTAGATCTGGGGGCCCAGCTGGGACGTGCTGATCATGAAGAACGCGTGTTTGTCTACACGCACAGACGCACGCACACGGACACAGACGCACGCACAGACGCACGCACGCGGACACAGACACACGCACGCGGACAGTCACACGCACGTAGAGACGCACACAAGCGCGCAGACACACGCGCATGCGCATATACGCGCACACACACCTCGTGACCCCACAGCTCCCCGTGCCTTCCCCGTGACCCCCCCCCGTGCCCCCCCCGCTAGCCCCCCCCGCCAGCCCCCCCCCCGCTAGCCCCCCCCCCCCCCCACCTCGAGCCACCTCCCGCAGCAGCACGGTGCCCAGCTTCACGATGGGGCTGTAGATCTGCTTCGTGTCGGAGGCTCCCCCCAGCTGCTGGCTGTGGCAGCGCAGCACCAGCTTCTCCTCCTGCCGCTGCAGCAGCACCAGCAGGTCGTCCAACAGCAGCACGTGCAGGTCTGGGGGGGGGGGTGGGGGGGGGTGAGGGGGGGTGAGTGTGAGAGGGTGAGTGAGTGTGTGAGTGAGGGTGAGTGAGTGTGAGTGTGTGAGTGAGTGTGTGGGTGAGTGAGTGAGTGTGTGTGGGTGAGTGTGTGGGTGAGTGAGTGTGTGAGTGTGTGGGTGAGTGAGTGAGTGTGTGTGAGGGTGAGTGACGTCACCGATCGTCTTCTCCTTGTTGAGGCGCCAGGTGAGTGGCCCCTCATGCAGCATCTTGCGCTTGGTGAGGTCCAGATTCTTCACACACACATACACACGTATACAGACACACACACAGACACACATACACACGTACATACACACACACAGACACACACACATACATACACACACAGACACAGACACACACAGTCAATAACGTAAACGCGCGCACACGCACACCAGGGTGGTGGTGGTGTGGGTGGCGGGGGGTGGTGGTGGTGGTGTGGGTGGTGGTGGGGGGTGGTGGTGGTGGTGGTGTAGGTGGCGGGGGGGGGTTGGTGTCGGTGGTGGTGGTGGTGGGGGTGGTGGTGGTGGTAGTGGTGATGCTGGTGGTCGTGTTGGGGGTGGTGGGGGTGGTGGGGGTGTTGGTGCAGGTGGTGGTGGTGGGGGTGTTGGTGCGGGTGGTGGTGGTGTGGGTGGTGGTGTAGGTGGTGGTGGTGGTGGTGCTGGTGGTGGTGGTGGCGGTGGTGTTGGGGGTGGTGGTGGTGGCGGTGGTGTTGGGGGTGGTGGTGGTGGGGGTGGTGGTGGTGGGGGTGGTGGTGGTGGTGTAGGTGGTGGTGTGGGTGGTGGTGGGGAGTGCGCCCACCTTGAACTCTGCGATGTAGGGGTACTGCGTCTTTTCCAGGAACGGGGAGACGTCCATCCTGCGCTGGTAGTCTTGCAGGCGCTGCCACGCAGTGAGCGGCACATGCAGCAGCGGTCAGCTGTGTCTCACCCTAACTCTCACCCTGAGACCCGGTCTCCCTAAAGTCTCACCCTGACCCTGCGCTGGTAGTCTTGCAGGCGCTGCCACGCAGTGAGTGGCACATGCAGCAGCAGTCAGCTGTGTCTCACCCTGACTCTCACCCTGAGACCCGGTCTCCCTAAAGTCTCACCCTGACCCTGCGCTGGTAGTCTTGCAGGCGCTGCCACGCAGTGAGTGGCACATGCAGCAGCGGCGGTCAGCTGTGTCTCACCCAGACTCTCACCCTGAGACCCGGTCTCCCTAAAGTCTCACTCTGACTCTGAGACCTGGTCTCCCTGAGTCTCACCCAGACTCTCACCCTGAGACCCGGTCTCCCTAAAGTCTCACTCTGACTCTGAGACCCGGTCTCCCTGAGTCTCACCCAGACTCTCACCCTGAGACCCGGTCTCCCTAAAGTCTCACCCTGACCCTGCGCTGGTAGTCTTGCAGGCGCTGCCACGCAGCGAGCGGCACATGCAGCAGCGGCGGTCAGACGGGACCCCGACACCCCGTCTCCCAGAGTCTCACCCTGACCCTGACACCCAGTCTCCCTAAAGTCTCACCCTGAACCTGACACCCAGTCTCCCTAAAGTCTCACCCTGAACCTGACACCCTGAGACCCGGTCTCCCTGAGTCTCACTCTAAGACTCTGACCCTGACACCCGGTCTCCCTGAGTCTAACCCTGACCCTGAGACCCGGTCTCCCTGAGTCTCACTCTAAGACTCTGACCCTGACACCCGGTCTCCCTGAGTCTAACCCTGACCCTGAGACCCGGTCTCCCTGAGTCTCACTCAGACCATCAGCAATGGCTGTGTGTGTGTCTGTGTGTGTGGCTGTGTGTGGCTGTGTGTGGCTGTGTGTGTGTGTGTGTGTGCGTCTGTGTGTGTGCGTCTGTGTGTGTGTGTCTGTGTGTGTGGCTGTGTGTGGTTGTGTGTGTGTGTGTCTGTGTGTGTGTCTGTGTGTGACTGTGTGTGTGTCTGTGTGTGTCTGTGTGTGGCTGTGTGTGGCTGTGTGTGTGTGTGTCTGTGTGTGTCTGTGTCTGTGTGTGTGTGTCTGTGTGTGTGGCTGTGTGTGGTTGTGTGTGTGTGTGTGTCTGTGTGTGTGACTGTGTGTGTGTCTGTGTGTGTGTCTGTGTGTGGCTGTGTGTGGCTGTGTGTGTGTGTGTCTGTGTGTGTCTGTGTCTGTGTGTGTGTGTCTGTGTGTGTGGCTGTGTGTGGTTGTGTGTGTGTGTGTGTCTGTGTGTGTGTCTGTGTGTGACTGTGTGTGTGTCTGTGTGTGTGTCTGTGTGTCTGTGTGTGTCTGTGTGTGACTGTGTCTGTGTGTGTCTGTGTGTGTGTCTGTGTGTGTGTATCTGTGTGTGTGTGTCTGTGTGTGTATCTGTGTGTGTGTGTCTGTGTGTTCTGTGTGTGACTGTGTGTGTGTCTGTGTGTGTGTCTGTGTGTGGCTGTGTGTGGCTGTGTGTGTGTGTGTCTGTGTGTGTCTGTGTCTGTGTGTGTGTGTCTGTGTGTGTGGCTGTGTGTGTGTGTGTGTCTGTGTGTGTGTCTGTGTGTGACTGTGTGTGTGTCTGTGTGTGTGTCTGTGTGTGTCTGTGTGTGAATGTGTCTGTGTGTGTCTGTGTGTGTGTCTGTGTGTGTATCTGTGTGTGTGTGTCTGTGTGTGTATCTGTGTGTGTGTGTCTGTGTGTGTATCTGTGTGTGTGTGTCTGTGTGTGTGTCTGTGTGTGTGGATGTGTGTGTCTGTGTGTGTGTCTGTGTGTGTGTATGTGTGTGTGTCTGTGTGTGTGTGCGTGTGTGTGTGTCACCTGTGCGTTCTCCGCCTCCCGCACGGCCGTGTTGACGGACAGCAGGATGCGCTTGCAGCACTCGCTGGCCTGCTGCACCTTGCCGTGCTCGGGGCTGCTGTCTGCGGAGGCAGCACAGCAGCAAGGTCGCGAGGTAACGAGCGAGCCGTGAGCGTGTGGTGAGTGTGTGGTGAGCGAGCGGTGAGCGAGTGGTGAGCGAGCGAGTGGTGAGTGAGTGGTGAGTGAGTGGTGAGTGAGTGAGTGGTGAGTGAGTGGTGAGTGAGTGAGTGAGTGGTGAGTGAGTGGTGAGTGAGTGGTGAGCGAGCGAGTGGTGAGTGAGTGGTGAGTGAGTGGTGAGTGAGTGGTGAGTGAGTGGTGAGTGAGTGAGTGAGTGGTGAGTGAGTGGTGAGTGAGTGAGTGGTGAGTGAGTGGTGAGTGAGTGGTGAGTGGTGAGTGAGTGGTGAGTGAGTCGTGAGTGAGTGGTGAGCGAGTGAGTGATGAGCGAGTGAGTGGTGAGTGAGTGGTGAGTGAGTGGTGAGTGAGTGGTGAGTGAGTGAGTGAGTGGTGAGTGAGTGGTGACTGAGTGGTGAGCGAGTGAGTGGTGAGTGAGTGGTGAGCGAGCGAGTGGTGAGCGAGTGGTGAGCGCGTGGTGAGCGAGCGTGGCGTACCAGCGGTGTACTTGGCGATCTTGTCCAGCAGCAGCGGGTACTTGGTGAGTCGCTGCATCTCACACGGCAAGAAGTCCTTGAGCTGCAGCCGGCGGCAGTGAGGGTTGCTCTCCGCATCCTGAACACGTCACACCACCCACGTCACACCACCACGTCACACCACCACCCACCACGTCATACACCACGTCACACCACCACGTCACACCACCACGTCACACCACACACCACGTCACACACCACGTCACACCACACACCACGTCACACACCACGTCACACCACGTGACCCCCCCCCCACCTGAATGAACTGCTGGAAGCGAGTTTCCTTGCGCTGGCGCTGCTTGATGGTGTCCAGCACCACCACGTCACACCACGTCACACCACACCCCACGTCACACCACCACACACCACGTCACACCACGTCACACACCACGTCACACCACGTCACACACCACGTCGCACCACGTCACACACCACGTCACACCACGTCACACACCACGTCACACCACGTCACACACCACGTCACACCACGTCACACACCACGTCACACCACGTCCACACACCACGTCGCACCACCACGTCACACAACCACGTCACACACCACGTCGCACCACCACGTCACACACCACGTCACACCACGTCGCACCACCACGTCACACACACCACGTCACACACCATGTCGCACCACACCACGTCACACACCACGTCACACCACGTCACACACCACGTCACACACCACGTCGCACCACCACGTCACACACCACGTCACACACCACGTCACACACCACGTCACACACCACGTCGCACCACCACGTCACACACCACGTCACACCACGTCGCACCACCACGTCACACACACCACGTCACACACCATGTCGCACCACACCACGTCACACACCACGTCACACCACGTCACACACCACGTCACACACCACGTCGCACCACCACGTCACACACCACGTCACACACCACGTCACACACCACGTCACACACACACGTCACACACCACGTCGCACCACCACGTCACACACCACGTCACACACCACTGCGCACCACCACGTCACACACCACGTCCACCACTGCAACCCAGCACCACGTCACACACACCCACGTCACACACCATGTCGCACCACCACCACGTCACACACCACGTCACACACCACGTCACACACCACGTCACACACCACGTCACACCACGTCACACACCACGTCACACACCACGTCGCACCACCACGTCACACACACCACGTCACACACCACGTCACACACCACGTCGCACCACCACGTCACACACCACGTCACACACACCACGTCACACACACCACGTCACACACACCACGTCACACACACCACGTCACACACCACGTCACACCACGTCACACACCACGTCACACACCACGTCGCACCACCACGTCACACACACCACGTCACACACCACGTCACACACCACGTCGCACCACCACGTCACACACCACGTCACACACACCACGTCACACACACCACGTCACACACACCACGTCACACACCACGTCACACACACCACGTCACACCACGTCACACCACCTGTATGAACTGCTGGAAGCGAGTGTCCTTGCGCTGGCGCTGCTTGATGGTGTCCAGCGCCAGCGTCTGCTGGCTGCAGAACACGGCGGCCGCCGCCTGCAGCGCCTCACCAGCCACGCCAGCAAACTACACGGGGGGGGGCATGGGGGGGGGGCACGGGGGGGCGGGGGGGGGTCACGGGGGGGGCGGGGGGGGGGGAGAGACACGGGGACACAGAGAGGTGGTCTCCACAATGCCTGTTCACGCGCGTGTGCGTGTGTGTACGCGCGTGTGTACGCGCGTGTGTACGTGTGTGTGTGCGTGTATATACGTGCGTGTGTGCTTGTACGTGTATGTACGCGCGTGTGTGCGTGTACGTGTATGTGCGTGTCTGTGTGTATGCGTCTGTATGTGCGCATCTGTGTGTGTGTCTGTGTGTGCGTGTCTGTGTGTGTGTGTCTGTGTGAGTGTACGTGTGTATGTCTGTGTGTGTGTCTGTCTGAGTGCGTGTCTGTGTGTGTGTGTCTGTGTGTCTGTGTGTGTGCATGTCTGTGTGTGTGCGTGTCTGTGTGTGTGTACGTGTCTGTGTGTGTCTGGCAAAAACAACCCCCTACCTCCTCGTGGTGCCGGACGGCAACGCTGTGGTGGGCAGTGCCGTGGGGGGAGGGCCAACTGAGTTTGGCCTCTCCCCTCACGGCGTCTGTGACCACCGCAGCGGCCAAACGGGGGCTCTGGACGGGTGCGAGGGGCTGGTAACCCCTTCACCTTCAATTAACTACCACTAAACTACGAGTTAAAAATTAACTAAGCTTGTGCCAGAGGCCCCGGGGGGACAGGCGTCTATGACGTCTCCTGGGCAAACCCCATAGAAGGCAGAGTGAGTAGGTGAGAGAGTGGGTGAGTGAGTGGATGAGTGAGTGAATGGGAGAGTGGGTGAGTGAGTGGGTGGGGGGTTAGGTGGGCGAGTGGGTGGGTGGGTGAGTGAGTAGGTGAGTGAGTGAGTGGGTGAGTGACCGAGTGGGTGACTGAGTAGGTGAGTGAGTGAGTGAGTGGGTGAGTGTTGTCCCCCACCCTGGCCAACAGGACGTCTCCCACGCCATCCACCAGGGGCCCGTTCTCCTTCAGCTTCTTCATGTCCACGTTCAGAGACTCTGCAAAGACAAAGGTGCCCCGTGTAGCCTTCAACGCCGCCGGGGCAAGCGCCACGAGCGGCGGCCCCCACCGGGGCCGGCACGGCGCGTACCGAGGGGGCCGGCGCCGTGCCGGCCACCCCGGCACCGGCCGGGAAAACCTTCACCGGCAGCCCCGGCACCGGCTGGGAGAACCTTCCGCGCCGGCGGCACCTGCGGTGACTCGGGTTCGTGGAGCGGTGCCGCCCCAATGGAGGCGGTGTGATGACACGCACGTCACGAGCTGGGACTGAGCGAGTGACTGGGCGAGTGAGTGACTGAGTGAGCGAGTGAGTGACTGGGCGAGGTCCCTCACCGTGGAGTGGCAGCAGCACGTCGAGGTTGGGGAAGATCTGGCGCACCTCGGCTTCGGGCGCGACGCCGTGCTGCACGAGGCGGTCGCAGAACAGCGCCTTGAGCACCTTGAGCATGCGCACGTGGGCACGCTCCGTGTGCAGCAGCTCTGCACACACACACACACACGTGTACACACACACACGCACACACACACACACGTGTACACACACACACACACATACACACACGCACACGTACACACACATACACACACGCACACACACACACGCACACACACGTACACACGCACACACACACACGCACACACATGTACACACACACACACGCACCTTGAGCATGCACACGTGGGCACGCTCCGTGTGCAGCTCTGTACACTACACACACCCACACACACGCACGTATACACACACACTAGTACACAAAGAACCCCCGTACAGCCTTTAACAGACTGTAGGGGCAAGTGCTGTTAGCGAGCACCTATGAAGTCCGGCACGGTACACAAGGGGGTGGGTGGCCAGCACCACGCCCGACCGCCTTTGTCTCCCTAGTGGCGATGTTTACTACGCACCGCACCAGGTACTTATTTGAGGCCGAGTCGACCTAGGGGAGACGGCCCGGTTCAGGTAATCGTCACCGGCGTTTGCCGTGAGCGGGGAATCGAACTCGGCTCGCCGGCTTCGCGGCGAAAAAAGACAAAGCTTCCCCGCGTAGCCTCAACAGACTGTTGGGGCAAGTGCCGCCCCCCCGTGCCCCGCGCGCGCACCGTTGATGACGTCCTGCCGCTTGACCTCCTGCTTGCCCAGGCGCGCCAGCTGCTCCGGCTTGAGCAGCAGCTGCCAGTGGGGGGCCTCTGCCTCCACCTCCAGGTCCTCGTCGGGGCCCAGCGACACCTCGTCGCCAAACGAGGGGGGGGGCGGCGGGGGGGCCCCCCCCCCGGACCACGAGGAGGTGGAGGAGGAGGTGGAAGGCTGCGAGGAGAGAGACGCGGTGTCGTCCGGCCTACGGGGGGAGGGGTGGGGAGGGAGCCATCACACGCCACTCTCACAATCTCACATCCACACTCACACTCGCACACACACACACTCATACACACTCTCACACTCTCACACTCTCACGCACACTCACATCCACACTCACTCACACACTCTCACACTCTCACACTCCACTCATTCTCACACTCTCTCACACGCCCCACTCACGCTCTCACACTCTCACACTCCACACTCTCAGACTCACACGCCCCACTCACACTCCACACTCTCACACACTCTCACTCACTCACACTCTCACTCACACTCCTCACTCACTCACTCACACTCTCACTCACACTCTCACTCACACTCTCTCTCTCACTCACACTCTCACTCGTGGCGTCGGGGAGGGGCCCTCGTCCAACAGCCGATTGACAACAGGGCCACGTGCAAGTCGCATGCAAACGGCATGCTAATGACACGTCAACGGCATGCTAATGACACGTCAACGGCATGCTAATGGCACGTCAACGGCATGCTAATGGCACGTCAACGGCATGCTAATGACACGTCAACGGCATGCTGACGGGCTGGTGATGTTACATTTAGATCAACGGAGCGGCGGTCGCCCCGACGCCGCCAGCCCGGGGCGGCCCAAGTTCACCACGCCGGCCGGTTTTGGCGCGCGGCACCGCCGGGTCGTTTACCGGGGCGGCCGCCGGGGTCGAACCGCGCGGCGCTGCCGCCGCGGCGGCACAGACACACGCACGCACACACACACACACGGACACACGCACGCACACACACACACACGCACACACGCACACGCACGCACACACACACGGACACACGCACGCCGGCTCCTGGCGAGCGACCCCCGTGGATCTGCGAGCTCCCCAAGCGATGATTTCACAATCGGCAACGACGTGTCCCAACGATCACAAAAAAAAATCACAAAATCCACAATCGGCAGAATCGTGAGCATCGTCAGAATCATCAGCGTCATCACCATTGGCATCGTCAGCATCGGCATCATCGGCATCATCAGCATCATCGTCATCATTGTTATCATCAGCATCGTCACCATCAGCATCGTCAGCATCAGCATCGTCAGAATCATCAGTGTCATCATCATTGGCATCATCAGCATCGGCATCGTCATCATCGGCATCGTCAGCATCGTCATCATTGGCATCATCAGCATCGGCATCATCAGCATCGTCACCATCAGCATCGTCATCGTCGTCATCGTCGTCATCATCGTCATCGTCAGTACCGTCAGCATCGTCAGCATCGTCATCATCAGCATCGTCATCGTCATCATCATCATCGTCATCATCGTCATCATCATCATCATCAGTATCGTCATCATCAGCACCGCCAGCGCCAGCAGGATCATCAGCAATGCTCGGACAAACGTGAAGCGTTGCCGTGCCCCAGCGACAAGACACCACGTGGCACTAACCCCCCCCCCCCGCCGGGCACACGGAACACAGACGGAGAAGCGGCGACGATGACGATGACGACGATGACGACACGGAGGAGGCCGCGAGGGAGCGAAGCGGGGGGGGGGGGGGAACTACTTTTCTGGTGCGGAGGAGAAGGATCCGGTTAGTCCAGAAGACGAGGAAGTAGACCAGGCCCTGAAGGAGGGAAACCCCCAAACAGGCCGCACCAGGGTCACCACCACGGGCAACACGGCGGGAACACGGCGGGAACGCGCACGCAGCGTCTCGGCTCACCGCCCAGCTGGCTATCCACGGGTCCATCGATCGATCGATGTGCACGTCTGACAAGTTTGTTTTTACTACAAACTCGCTCGGCGGTGCGGGGCGGCCGCTGCTACCGCTGCTGATACCGCTGCTGCCGCTGCTACCGCTGCTACCGGTGTTGCCGCCACCGCTGCCACCGCCAACGATGACATCTCAACTACGTGGCTTGGCATCGTCATTATCGTCGTCGTCATCACCGTCGTCATCGTCGTTATCGTCATCATCGTCGTCGTCGTCATCATCATCGTCATCATCGTCATCGTCGTCGTCATCATCGTCATCATCGTCATCGTCGTCATCATCGTCGTCATCGTCGTTATCGTCGTCATCATCGTCGTCATCATCGTCGTCGTCATCGTCGTCGTCATCATCATCGTCATCATCGTCATCATCATTGTCATCGTCATCATCGTCGTCATCGTCGTTATCGGCATCATCATCATCATCGTCATCATCATCATCGTCATCATCATCATCATCGTCGTCGCGTGCAAATTTACAGCGGCAGTGGAATATTCTAAATCGCGTTGACGTCGACTCGAGACGTGGAGGGGAAACTGGAGAGAAATCCACGCAGCGACCGCGGGGAGAGAGAGAGACACGCAAACTCCAACTACGCAGCAGCAGCAGCAACAGGCGGCGCCTGGGCCCGTGCGGACTTTAAATATGTATATTTATATAGATATGTATATATTTATATATGTATATATTTATATATATGTATATATATATTTATGTATGTATATATTTATATAAATGTTTCTTCTAATCTGCCCGGTGAGGCCGACACGTGCGGCGCCGCGAAGACCATCGCGGCGAGGGGGTTGGTGGATCGCCCGCAGATGGGGCTGGCAAACTCCCTCCCCCTCCCTTGCCACGTCGCCACCGCCACCACCACCACCACCGCCGTCCGGCTACTGCCCGACAGGCGAGCAGTGGTGGTGGTGGCGATGGCGGCGGCGGTGGCGGCGGTGGTGGTGGTGGTGGCGGTGGTGGTGGTGGTGGCGATGGCGGCGGCGGTGGCGGCGGTGGTGGTGGTGGCGGTGGTGGCGGCGGTGGTGGTGGTGGTAGCGGCGGTGGCGGCGGTGGTGGTGGTGGTGGTGGCGATGGCGGCGGCGGTGGTGGTGGTGGTGGCGATGGCGGCGGCGGTGGCGGCGGTGGTGGTGGTGGTGGTGGCGGTGGTGGCGGTGGTGGTGGTGGTGGCGGTGGTGGCGGTGGTGGTGGTGGTGGCACGGCGCTGCCCGCACCGCCGGGGGCGGAACGGCAAGTGGTGCTGGTGGTTGGCCGATTGCTGTGATCAGGCGCTCGGTATCATCGCACGTGTGTGTGCACGTGTGTGCACGTGTGTGTGCACGTGTGTGTGCGCGTGTGTGCGCGTGTGTGCACGTGTGTGTGCACGTGTGTGTGCACGTGTGTGTGCACGTGTGTGCGCGTGTGTGCACGTGTGTACATGCGTGGTGATGATGGCAGCGATGATGATGGCAGCGATGATGATGGCGGCAATCATGATGGTGGTGATGACGGCGAGTTTGATGACGGTGATGATGGTAACAATGACGATAGCGACAGTGATGATGGTGGTGGTGGTAACTATGACGATGATGGCTTTGATGACAATGATGGTAATGATGGTAATGATGGTGATCATGACGATGGTGATGATGGTGATGATGATGATGGTGATGATGATGGTGATGATGATGATGATGGTGATGATGGCGACGACAACAATGATGATGGTGACGATGACGATGGTGATGGTGATGATGGTGACGGTGACGATGACGATGGTGATGATGGTGACGGTGACGATGATGATGGTGACGATGATGGTGATGATGATGGTGATGATGATGGTGGTGATGGTGACGATGACGATGATGATGGTGATGGTGATGATGATGGTGACGATGGTGACGATGACGATGATGATGGTGATGATGGTGACGATGATGGTGGTGATGGTGATGATGATGGTGATGGTGACGATGACGATGATGATGGTGATGATGATGGTGATGATGGTGACGGTGACGGTGACGATGTCCACAGGCACCTGCGCCAGCTGCGAGGAGTGCGAGGTGGAGTCACGTCTCCGGGCGTCCTGCGGAACAACAACAACAGCAACAACGTCAACAACAACAACAACAGCAACAACGTCAACAACAGCAACAACGTCAACAACAACAACAACGTCAACAACAACAACGTCAACAACAACAGCAACAACAACAGCAACAACAACAACAACAGCAATAACAACAGCAACAACGTCAACAACAATAACAATAACAACAACAACAACGTCAACAACAACAACAATAACAACAATAACAACAACAACAGCAACAACGTCAACAACAACAACAGCAACAACGTCAACAACAACAACAACAGCACGGAGGTCAGCTACAAGTTGCTCCCTTGCGGAGGGCTGCAGCACCTGAGTGTTGGCGTGAGGGGTGGCCCCATGCGCGCCGTGGCCTCCATGGCGGCCTCCCTGTCGATGTCGCTCTTGGAGCGCGAGGAGGAGGAGGAGGAGGAGCCGGGGGAGCGGCGCCCACCGCCGCCGTCGACCCGCAGACTCTCGGAGCGGCCCACTCGCAAGCCGCCCGACCTGCAGGCACACAAAGACGTGCGTGTGTACCTGCGTGTGTACCTGCGTGTGTGCGCGCGTGTGCGCGTGTGTGCGTGTGTACGTGCGTGTGTACGTGCGTGTGTACACGTGCGTGTGTGTACGTGTGTGTGTGTATGTGTGTGTGTTCGTGCGTGTGTACGTGTGCGTGTGTACCTGCGTGTGTACCTGCGTATGTGCGCGTGTGCGCGCGTGTGCGCGCGCGTGCGCGCGTGTGCATGTGTACATGCGTGTGTATGTGCGTGTGTGTGTACGTGCTTGTGTGCGCGTGTGTACGTGCATGTGTACGTGCGTGCACGTGTGTGCGCGTGCGTGTGCGTGCGTACGTTGCGTGTGTACGTGCGTGTGTGCGTGTGTGCGTGCGTGTGTGCGTACGTACTCTCTGCCGCCGCCCCGCGTCTCCCCCAGGTCCCCCGCTGACCCCGGCTCCAGCCCCCCCCCCTCGTAGCCCCCGGCCCCTCCCCCCGGCGCCGGCTCGAACTGGCGCACCATGCTCGCCACACTGCTCCCTTGCCCTGCGTAGAGACAAAGGCCCCCCAGGAAGCCTTCAACGACTGCCGGGGCAAGCGCTGTCGAGTACCGGCCGACACGGCGGCCGGCGTCGCGCGTCCGCCCGGCCGTCTTTGTATCCTCCCCGGTGCTGACGTCTTACACTCAACCGCACCAGGGCACTTATTTTGAGGCCGAGTCGACCTAGGGGTATTCCCACGATCAGGAATCCGTTGGGAACTCTCGCAGAGCTACCGCTGAGAAGTGGATCTCAAAGGGCTACTTCTGAGATCCATTCTACTTAGAGTGACCACTCTGACCCCACAGATCAGCCCACGCAAGTGGATATCAAAGGGCTACTTCTGACACCCATTCTACTTAGAGTGACCACTCTGACCCCACAGATCAGCCCACGGAAGTGGGTATCAAAGGGCTACTTCTGACACCCATTCTACTTAGAGTGACCACTCTGACCCCACAGATCAGCCCACGCAAGTGGATATCAAAGGGCTACTTCTGACACCCATTCTACTTAGAGTGACCACTCTGACCCCACAGATCGACCCACGCAAGTGGATATCAAAGGGCTACTTCTGAGATCCATTCTACTTAGTGACCACTCTGACCCCACAGATCAACCCACGGAAGTGGATATCAAAGAGCGACACAAGTGGACCCACACACACACGTAGACCCACACACACACGTAGACCCAACCACACACGCAGACCCACACACACACACGCGTGGACCCACACACACACACGTAGACCCACACACACACGTGGACCCACACACACACGCAGACCCACACACACACGTGGACCCACACACACACGTGGACCCACACACACACATGGACCCCACACACACACACGTAGACCCACACACACACGTGGACCCACACACACACGTGGACCCACACACACACACGTGGACCCACACACACACATGGACCCACACACACACGTGGACCCACACACACACACGTAGACCCACACACACACGTGGACCCACACACACACGTGGACCCACACACACACGTGGACCCACACACACACACGTAGACCCACACACACACGTAGACACACACACACACGGTGACCCACACACACACACGTGGACCCACACACACACGTAGACCCACACACACACGTGGACCCACACACACACGTGGACCCACACACACACACGTAGACCCACACACACACACGTGGACCCAACACACACACACGTGGACCCACACACCACACGTGGACCCACACACACACGTGGACCCACACACACACGTAGACCCACACACACACGTGGACCCACACACACACGTGGACTCACACACACACACGTGGACCCATAGACCCACACACACGTAGACACACACACACGTAGACGTGGACCCACACACACGTGGACCCACACACACACGTGGACCCACATACACACACGTAGACCCACCACATGTGGACCCCACACACACGTGGACCCACACACACACACGTAGACCCACACACACACGTGGACCCACACACACACGTGGACCCACACACACCGTGGACCCACACACACGTGGACCCACACACACACACGTGGACCCACACACACACACGTAGACCCACACACACACGTGGACCCACACACACACGTAGACCCACACACACACGTAGACCCACACACGTAGACCCACACACACACGTAGACCCACACACACACACGTGGACCCACACACACACGTGGACCCACACACACGTGACCCACACACACAGACACATGGACACACACACACACGTAGACCCACACACGTAGACCCCACACACACCTAGACCCACACACACACATGGACACACACACACACGTAGACACACACACACTGGACCCCACACCACGTAGACCCACACACACACGTAGACACACACACACACGTAGACCCACACAACACACACGTAGACCCACACACGTAGACCCACACAGACTGACCGTCGCCCCCACCCCATTGGCCGGGCCTCAGGATGATGTCACGGAAGAGCGACTGGCGGCCCCCACCCCCCTTCTTGTCCTCCTTCTCCTTCTTGGGCCCCAGCGTCTGGACACGCGCACCACACACCAGTCACCCACACACAGTCCACACACACACAGTCACACACACCACACAGTCACACACACACACAGTCACACACACACACAGTCCACACACACACACACAGTCACACACACACACACAGTCACACACACACACACAGTCACACACACACACAGTCACACACACAGTCACACAACACAGTCACACGACACACACAGTCACACACACACACACAGATCACACCACACACACAGATCAACCACCACACACAGTCACACACACACACAGTCACACACACACACAGTCACACACACAGCACAGTCACACACACACACAGTCACACACCACACCCAGTCACACACCACACAGTCCACACCACACACACAGTCACACACACACCACAGTCACCACACCACACCAGTCACACACCACACACAGGACCCACACACACGTCACAACAACACAACACACAGTCACACACACACACAGTCACACACACCACACCAGTCCACACACACCAACAGTCACACACACACACAGTCCACACACACCATTCCACACACACAGGCACACACCACACACAGTCCACACAAACCACACACCGTCACACACACCACCAGTCACACACAACACACAGTCACACACACACAACAGTCCACACACACACAGTCACACACACACAGTCCCACACACACACACAGTCACACACACACACGTCACACACACACACAGTCCACACACAGTCCACACACAGTCACACACACACACAGTCACACACACAGTCACACACACAGTCACAACCCACACAGTCACACACACACACAGTCACACACACACACAGTCACACACCACACAGTCACACACACAGTCACACACAACACACACAGTCACACACACACACACAGTCACACACACACACAGTCACACACACACACAGTCACACACACACAGTCACACACACACAGTCACACACACAGTCACACACACACACAGTCACACACACACACACAGTCACACACACACACAGTCACACACACAGTCACACACACAGTCACACACACCACAGTCACACACACAGTCACACACACACACACAGTCACCACACACACACAGTCACACACACACACAGTCACAACACACACACAGTCACACACACAGTCACACACACACAGTCACACACACACACAGTCACAACACACACAGTCACACACACACAGTCACACACACACACAGTCACACACACCACAGTCACACACACATCACACACACACAGTCACACACACACAGTCACACACCACAGTCACACACACAGTCACACACACACACAGTCACACACACACACAGTCACACACACACACAGTTACACACACAACAGTCACCACACACACAGTCACACACACAGTCACACACACACACAGTCACACAACACACAGTTCACACACACACACTTCACACACACACAGTCACACACACACAGTCACACACACACACAGTCACACACACACAGTACACACACACAACACAGTCACACACACAACAGTCACACACACACACAGTCACACACACACAGTCACACACACACAGTCACCACACACACACAGTCACACACACACAGTCACACACACCACAGTCACACACACCACAGTCACACACACACAGTCCACACACACCACAGTCACACACACAGTCACACACACACAGTCACACACACACCACAGTCACACTACAACACCAGTTACACACACACAGTTACACACACACCAGTCACAACACACACAGTCAACACACACACATCACCACACACCCAGTCCACACACCCCAGTTACACACCACACACACAGTCACACACACACGACAGTTACACACTACACACACAACACAGTCACACACACCACAGTCACACAACAACACAGTCACACACACACACACAGTCACCACACACACACAGTCACACACACAACCACAATCACACACACACAGTCACACACACACAGTCACACACACAGTCACACACACACACAGTCACACACACAGTCACACACACAGTCACACACACACAGTCACAAAAAGACAAAGATCCCCCGTATAGCCTTAACAGACTGTAGGGGCAAGTGCTGTTAGCGAGCACCTATGAAGGCCGGAACGGTACACGAGGGGGTGGGTGGCCAGCACCACGCCCGACCGCCTTTGTCTCCCTAGTGGCAATGTTTACATACCGCACCAGGTACTCATTTGAGGCTGAGTCGACCTAGGGGAGGCCCGGGACCGGTTCAGATAATCGTCACTGGTGTTGGCCGTGAGCGGGAATCGAACTCGTGTCGCCGGGTTCATAGCGCAGCGCGCTAACCGCTACAACTACCGCTCCCCACTACAAGTCCACACACACAGTCACACCCACAGTCACACACACCAGTCACCACACACAGTCACACACACAGT